TATCTATCTATCTATCTATCTATCTATCTATCTATCTATCTATCTATCATCTATCTATCTATCTATCTATCTATCTATCTATCATCTATCTACATACCTATCTATCATCTATCTCTATCTCTTTCTGAAACAGGGTCTCTATTGTAGCTCTGTCACAGAACTCACTTTGTAGACAAAGCTGGCCTCCAATTCACAGAGATCTGCCTCTGCTTGCCATGCGCTGGGATCAAAGGCACGTTATACCACACCTGCCTGAGTAAGAAATTTTCTTATTCAGGTAATATGAAGTAGGAAGACTCACTGTTAAGAGCCATACTTTCTGGTGGCAGCCCACCTAAAAAGACATGGAAGAAGCTTTTGCTTTTTGATTGCTTGCCTTCACTCATGCTGGCCATTTTGTCTGTCTTATTGCTGTGATCAGTGTTAAATCCAACTTCAACAGCATTCTCAGCTTTCCAGAAATTCTCTAGGACTTCAGGGCCATATTTGTACTGCAGAGGCATGCCAGCCTCATGGGTTGAGCAGTTACTGGATTCTGGGCCTTCTGGTTGTGAGACAGCCTTTGGCCTCTCAGACCACATCCTATAATCCAATCTAATGAGTCCCCTGTTTATTTTACAGTCATTTTATCAGTTCTGTTTCTTTAGAAACCCCAGACTAATTTATCATTTCAAATGTCACAATGACAACCACTCCTCTATAATCAATAAACACTAATTTAAAATAATTATACATATTTAATGTTTGGGGTAGATTATGTATTTTGGAGCTTAGGATAGATATCTTTGAACAGATTTGTGTGCTTTGTTTTTGTTTTTAGAGACAGGGTTTCTAAGCAGCCCTGGATGTCCTGGACTTACTTTGTACAATAGTCTGGCCTTGAAGCCACAGAGATCTGCATGACTCTGCCTCCAGGGTACTGGGATTAAAGGCATGTGCCAATAGGCCAGGCTCAGATTTCTAATGGTCAAAAGGCATTAATTGAATCAGCTGCATCACAGTTTTTTGGACCACACCAGGATTCCCTTACTCTTTATCTCTTCTTCCCTTTATCTTTTCACCTATTTTTCAAGGTCAAAAACAAAGTCTGTTATAACTTTATCATCTAATCATGAGAAAAGTTCCTTTAATCATTTACTGTTAGACAAACCTTTGGTTCTGAGATAAAGAAATTCTGATAGATAGTATGCATTAAAAAGGACTAGCAAGTCTCTGAAAGCCTTTTCTCAGGTAGTTTATGATCTAAGCACAGAACACTAATTACTCACACTGTAACTTATCAAATAAGGGGATGATTATTATATCTGTGAGGACAGGATTTATACTCTGTTCAATAAAGTAGGCTATTCTCAGTCAATCTACTTGGTTATGAAGAGTAACTATTTAATAGAAAACTTTAACTCAGTGGAATAAAAGCACAAAATTATTTAACTATTCTAACAAACATCTTCAATATAAAATTATTAGTAATTTTAATACTAATTAGTAATTTTAATAATTAGTAATTAGTAATTAGTAATTTATATTCTCTCTTTGTATTTTGCCTTTTGTAGGGGAATCTCTCTGGAAAATATTTTAAAAGAAAGCCAGGGAACTTCTCGGCCATTTACCATATCATACCATCTCCTTCACCTGAGGACATGCACACTGATATCATCACCAGGGAAGTATGGCACCACCATGCCTTCACCGGGTTTGTCTGCTTCTTTGTGATGCTAGTGATCTGTTGACAAGGGGTTGCTTACTCTCCATGTGCTGGTTTTACATTTCTCTCCTCTGTGAAGTTTTCCCATGAAGGGAGGTGAAGTTTAAAACTAGACCATGTGGACTTTGGTGGCCACCATTATAAGTCTGAGTTTTGGTTCTAAGTTTAAAGGGAAGCTTTGGAGTGATCTGACTCGTGCTTTAAGAAGAACATTGCCTTAATTCAAATACAGTATATACACATACTATATATATATATATATATATATATATATATATATATATATACAGTATATAAAATACTATGTATATATAAATAGCTAAAAGAATGCTGGTGAAGGAGGAAAGCAGCTGTGGTTTGGATTGCAGAATCATTACAGCCTTCTGAAGGTGTGGATATGAGAAGTGAAAGAAACTGAGGAGTAACTGGGATTAAAGATGAGGTGAACCTAAAACCTGAAGCCAGCTATTAGCACCTGCAGAAAAGGTAGCAGAGGATCTCGGTGCTCAGCTTGCAGGAAGGATACAAACATGAAGAAAAGATACAAAAGAGACTTCAAAAGTGACTGCAGAGCAGAACAACACAGCAGACCAAAAGTCTGTCTCACTTCCGATAGTTGATGAAGGATGAGTGGCAAGAGAAGATGACTGGTTATCCAGCTTCCAGGAAGTGGCATCCTCAAATGAGAAGGGATACCAGAAAAGGAGACTATTAGAGAGGATTTGGAGGCAGTGAGTCACAAAGGTCACTGAAGGAAGGTTGAGAACACAGAAAGAAACTGTACCAGGACACTGAATACTGGCAAAGGGTCATGGATAACAGGCTGAATGTCTATGTTAATGATCAGGGTTAAACAACGCTAAGAAAATCTGGGTTAAAGGCCAATTTATGTAACTTACCAGTATTCCATTTCCAACTGGAATGTCTGTTTAACAGGAACCATGAGGCAGGGAACCTCCATCTCCACTTGAACTAGGTGGCTGTTGCCTAATTTTCACATTTATTGTTGAGTAGAGTAATTGTGACATCAGAAGGAAACCACCCAATCATGGTTTCTGCTTTTCCCCTCTAAATTTCTCTCCCTTTTGCTGGTTTTTGTTTTATCTCTCTGTTCAACAAGTTTCTATATATTGATCAGCATGTTAACACTATAGCATCTCAATTTGTATTTGTAATGAAAACTGGAACCAGAACCTTAGAAATGTTCCACTGGAGTGCCTCCCTTCTCATGAATCCCAGTGCTCAAGATACTAAACATTTGTTTTCTGGAAAGTAAGCGCTGCCTTCTCAGCCATATCATGTGGCCATTACCGTAGTAGTGTTGAGTTGTGGCATCATTAACGGCTTAATACTCGTAATTATAAAAGAGCGTCTATAGTATGGCTAAAAACTAAATCTTCAAACAAAGGATGAAATCTTTGACATAGCCGCTGTCATTAAATACTTTTAACACTTGATTATTAAAATATTAAAATATATACATATATATATTTATAGCCTTATGGGTACACATTTCACATTGGTTTTGTTTGTTTTTGTTTTAAAAATAGGGTCTATGTATTTCAGAGTAGTTTGGAATTCATTACATAGCCCAGGATGTCTTCAAACTTTTTGAGGTAAATCTCCTCCTCAGCCCCTTGAGTCTTGGGATTAGAAGTGTGTGTCACCACACCTGACTCTGTCTCATTGTTCTTCAAAAGATTAGCCATAAACCAGGTGGAATGACTTGATTCTGGAATTACAAGGATGCTTCTAAGATGTAAGAATAGGAAGAAAAATATTTGTGTAAGAGCATTCAATTTGATGAAAAGGAAACCAGTTTAATTTGGGGGCTCACTCAGCAATAAGTAATTAAAATAATTTACTAAGCGATTGGTTCCATTAGAAAATGTTTTCTTATACATGCATTTAGCTTTGAAGGAACATTTTTACAAAAGGTTAGCAACCTGTTTACATGTGCTTTGCAAAATGCAAATATCTGCCAAGATGCCGATAAGTAGCAAGAATTACTTGACAGCAGCTTTCTGTGATAGACTTAATGGAGCCGAAATTCTGAATGCTTACAGATTCCGTATTAACAAAAGGCCAAAGACTCTGGAGCCAGCCAATCAAACTTTCTACAATGGATTTTCAAGATTCAGACTGCAGATGCCGCCTGATAGGGCAGCGGCGGCGTTCATATTGGAGGTAATGCTGCTCTTCCTCCGAACTTATCATTTGAAGTCACTTACATAATGTTAATTTTATCAGTCCGTCATAGGTTTGGTAATGGCAAGCATCACATCCTCAGAAGTCTGTACAAGGTGTGTGATCCTGCAGCTCCTAAATAAATGCTGACTAAGTCTATATTCTAATTTTAATTTTGAAAGGTTAAATCAGATTGACAAGCTGACAAATGATGCATCAATTTCTCCCATCTGACAAATTTCAATTAGCTGTCAAAATTAAAACAGGGTGGGGAAAAAAAAATCAGAATTTGAAAATAATGTAGCTACTTTAATCATTAGTTTTTACCTTTTCCCTCACAAACCTTATAGAATGTTTGTGTATTTTGAGATAAAGCCAGAAGGCTGGAAACTAGCATATTATATAGTCAATTCTCAAAACGTTTATGTGGGGTACAAATAACATCTGATATTGTTTGTGAATGTAGGTAATTCCTGTCCCAACTGTTAGATACTGGATAGTTATTTAAAACTGTATATTTAGCAAGACATGATGGTGCATGCCTTTAATCCCAGCATTCAAGAGGCAAAGGCAGGCGGATCTCCAAGTTCAAAGCCCACCGGCTCTATAGAGCAAGTTCCAGGACAAAGAAACCTTGTCTCAACAAAACAAAACAAAATGCCCCAAACAAACAAATTCCCCCTCAAAAAACCCCAAACCAAACAACTTTATGTTCTTTATTTACATAACAGATAAAATGTTCTTGCTTTCTTTGTGGAAGTATTCCTTAAGCTATATTTGAGGAGTCGACAGTCTGTTACCCCTTTAAAGTAATTTTAATTTTCTGTATTATCTACATTTGGGGGGGTTAATTTTGATATAACAATATGTTTGAAAAAGTGTTTATTTTTCAATGACAATGCCAAAGACATTGGTTTAGGATGGTCCAAAAGGCCAGTAATCGAAGGATCTGATGTTACCAGGAGCTTTAAAAGTTTACAAGCACTTAAAAGTAAGTTAGCAGGACAGGGGGTGTGGTGCACTTGGCGGAAGGCACATATGACATGCAAAAAGACTTGGGTTCATTTCCCATAACCACATAAACGGTGTGTGGTGTCACATTCCTCAGGAGTTCAAGGTTGGCTTTGCCTGCAGAGCAAGTTCATGGCCAGACTGCGAGACTTCTAGAAAAGAACTTACTTTATTAAAAGCATTTTTTAAAAATGTAGCTTTCAGGGCATTTGCCAAAATTCTAACAAAACAAAAACAAAAACAAAAACAACTTTCATTATAGCTGTCAACAAAGACCCCCAAGAGGAAAAAGCTAAGAGTTTCCAGCAAATTGCTGGAAGTAAGCTGCCCCATCCAAGGCCATTGGAACTGCCCAGGTTTCGGAGAAAGGTTGTTCATCCCCTAGGGGTGTCATTGCTTCAGTGTGTTCTCAGGAATTTTGATTTGGCTGCAAATGCGTTTCTGGCTAAGGATGAGAAGTCAATTATAACTTGTCTGACTTTTTTTTTTTTAATTTTTAATTCTTAATTTTTTAACTTTTATTAATTACACTTTATTCACTTTATATCCCCCCATAAACCCCTCCCTCTTCCCCGTCCCAATCACCCTCCCTCCCCTTTCTTCACGCATGCCCCTCCTCAAATTCACTGATAGGGGAGGTCCCCCTCTCCTTCCTTCTGATCTTAGTCTATCAGATCTCATCAAGAGGCTTTTTTTTTTTTTTTTTTTTTTTTTTTTTTTTTTTTTTAGAGTGAGATGGATGCAGGAATTCTATTTGCAAAATCACCTATTGTGCAAACTTTCTAAACACTTCTAAAGGAAAATGCTTTTTAAGTTTGAAAGGAGGACAAGGACGGAAATGACGTTTAGAGTGTACTGCCAGCAAATAGTGCAGCACCCTTGCAACGGTGAATTTTGTTCATTAGAAGCTATAATATTGCAATGGGGTGTGTTAAGAACTCTACTACAGAGGCACAGAAATGAGGAGTCTTGTTCAGATGTGCTGCATGGGGCTTGGGTGGGGGATGGGTAAAGTCTCAGTCTCTGGGATTTGGTGTTAATCGGAGTTGAGGTACCAACCAGACTGTTACAAAAGCAGCCCAGGACACACTATCTCCTAATGACCAGGCGTCAACTGGGACGGAAGCTGAATAAGGAACTCTTCAGTGAGCTTTGCAGTGAAAACGCCTTTCTTGGGATGCAGCTGACGAAAAGCTGTGGTTGGTCTCCTCAGTAAAAAATCCGAGGTCTTTGCAGAAGCTCCGCCCGCTGCCCTGCCTCCCACTGTGGGCTGACTGAGCAGGCGAGAGCCTGCTCCCTTGGGTCTTCCAGTCGCCTCGCTAGTTTCCCTTAGTCTCTGGATCTTTGCAAAAATCCCTGTGCTCATCTTTGCTATCCATTTGCAGTCCCCTGGCCTTCGGTGGCAGTCCGAGGCGCTCCCGGGCTCAGGACGTCATGGCAAAGCCCAGGAATCTCAGGGGCCTGGGGATGTGCATTACTGCAGCACTGGCGTCCTTCCTTGCAGGCTTTGTAATGGGTAAGTGTGAAAGCCAGGGTCATGAGATCTCATCGGAGGGAAAAGAAGCCCACGTGGAGGGCTGAGATGGGCTCTGAGGAGTTCCTGAAAGAATTCAGCAAAAGTAGAGAGCGAACGGAGTGCATTTTAGTTGAAATTCAACTTTATTAATTATTCTATTGAGTGTAGACTACTGCTATGGGCTGCTGGGAAGATAACTCGGGGAGGGAAAAAAAATGACCCCGTTTCCATGTAATTATGAATTGAACCATTTTTACGTGAATGTTTTAGGAGTGCTCCATGTGTGTTAAGGGCTGTTTATGAACTAGATTCCAGTGGAGAACTGGAAAGGCTATGCCTCATGTGTTCACAGCACAAGAGAAATGAAAGAACAGTTCTTAAGTAACCCTGTGCTAACCAATTGAGGGTTACATTGTAGATGAGAATTTTTAAAAGGTTTTTACAATTAGCAATTAGGATGTTTTCTTTTTTTCAAAAGTGCACAGTGATCTGTTGGTTAGGTGTCATTATGTTTCATTTTATTTGGTGTCTACTTTAATAGTCAGAAGCAATCACTGTGCATATGCTGTGTGTCTTTGTGTCTGTTTGTGCATCTCTATGTGTTCCTGTAATTCCATTCCAACCCTCAGGCTGGTTTGTTAAGTCTCTTAAAGAAACAACTTCTTCAGCTGGTTATCATCAAAGTATGCAGTGGAAACTCTTATCTGAAATGAAAGCTGAAAACATTAGATCGTTTCTTCGGTAAGTTTGTTTTGCTTTTTTAATCTTGGAAATAGTGTTTATGTTCATTGCATGAACAAATGTATTACAACTTAGCCAGCCCTTATTTACATGTGAAATTATAAATTGCTCACTATTTCATTGATTTTTAAAATGTCTCTAAAGCACAGGATGAAACCCATGGACTGTTGCAGAGAAACCTTTTCTCCTCTCTAACTTCATGCTACAGAAATGCATCTGGTCGGTGTGTTTAGAGATGTTTCACCCTCATGTAACCTTGAACTGCAACTGAACGTGATGGTTTTGTTCCTTGTTCATGGGCTTAATCAGCATCTGGACTTAATCAGAAAAATCTTCTTCTTGCTGCCAGACTCTTTCTTTACTGCATTCTGTAAGAAAGAGTTACTAGAACACATTGTGTTCAGGCTTTTTCAAAAAAGAATGCCACTCACAAATTAGCTTTATTCAATTGTAATTTACATAAATCATAACTTCAAAACCTACAATTTCAGAGACTTTACAGATATATCATAGTAATCAAACTACATGTCGCTCTAGGATGCTGAGAATTCTAAAGCTCTTCTCTTTGGCCATTGAGCTAAGAAGGGATGTGTGACGCAGCTGTGCTTCATGAAAGGCAAGGGAAGCTTATCTAAAGTTTCCTCTGTTGGAGGAAAAATGTAAGAGGGAATAGTGTTCCTTTGTATTTTACTTGAACACTACTAAATTACTATTCAGTTTAGACCATGAAGGGAAACTCAAATGTTACAATTTGTTTTTCTTTTTTCACATCTGTGTTTCATTTTTACTGAGCCCTCTAAAAGATGAGAAGCACAAGCTCATCATGATTAATCATCTCCATTTAAAGAAATACACTGTTTTTTTTTCTAATTGCAGAAATAGTATCTGTTTACTGTAGAAAGTAAAACAACAGTGAACTATATATAAGTTTCTATCACTGTAATAAGCACCATGACCAAAAGTGACTTAGGGAGAAAGGTCTTATTTCATCTTAGAACTCCTAGGACATATTCCATCACTGAGGATGGTCAGGACAGGAACTCAAGGAAGGAATATGCTAGCAGAAACTGAAGCATCAACCATGAATCCTGTTTACTGTTTTGCTCAGTTTGCTATCTTATTGATTCCAGGACCACCTCAGAAACTGTAAGCCAGCCCCAATTAAATGTCCTTTGTAAGAGTTGCTGTGGTCTTTTATGATGTCTCTTTACAGCAACAAAACCCTAACTAAGATAGAAGTTGGTGCCAGAGACTGGAGGCATTGCTGTGCTAGGCCTGACCATGCTTTTGTTTGGAGCAATGTGGATCTTTGGATTTTGGATTAGGAGAGCAGTAAACTGCTTTAAATGGAGATTAATGGGCCATGCTAGTAGGAACACGGAAGACAGTAATGTTAACGGTGATTTGAACTGTGGGGGCCTGGCTCAAGGGGTTTCAGGAGAGAAGAATTTTAGTATGTTGCCTAGAAACTGTTTTTGTGATATTTTTGTGAAGAATGTGGTTGCCTTTTGCCCTTGTCCAAATAGTCTGCCTGAGGCTATGGCGAATGAAATTTCAAAACAACCCTGAAAAGACTCTGTCCTGTGGTTCATTCTTATGAAGAACATGTTGATCATGAAAAATACAAAATCTATGGTTCAAAGATTAAAGGGATACCAGGAAGTGGAATGGAATTAAATCCTGTGTTCAAGGAGATACACAAATTGAAGGTATTACATGGAATTAAGTGAGTGGTGACCTCAGGGCAAGATCCCACCCAGCTAAGCTTCTTTTCAAACTGATGTTGAAAAAGGTACAATACCACCGAGTCTAAATTTACTGTGCATTTGCAGCTTTATCAGGGACAGTTATATAATGTTGGACATTATTATGATCTGGTTATTGTTTTTATTTGGACATAAGGATATATGCTTGTGTGTCAAGTTGACAAGGGGTAGATTGTAATGGTTATTCTCATTTGTCAACTTGACTATACCTGGAATGAACTACATTCCAGAAATGAAAGGCGGGCCTGTGATCAGGATCTTTTTTTTTTTTTCATTCTTCATACAGTTATTTTATTTTTGCTTTTTTCTATAACATGTAATCAATTTGAAGACAAAATATTATGCAATCATAATATTTTACTCTTAATTGATCAGACAAACTACACTCAACAACAGCACTTTAAATAGTACACAGGGAGGGGATAAAGTGACTAAAAGATGTTTATATTGGCTAATATTACTATTATGTTACTTAATGTTCTATACTGTCTAATACAGTTAAGAGAAACCTATGCAAAGTGTGTTGGCATCAAGGAATGCTGTCAACATTAGGACAGCAAACAAACCTATAAAGTTTCTTTATCAGGATAATACAGATGTACAAAACTGCTCATGCTTTTAAAGACTACTTTTAGTCGACTCCACAGAAATCATACATACAATTACTAAACATATTCCTAAAAGTCTAAACATGAGCACTTGGAGCACACAACTTAAATATCTAATAAGTAAACTGCATATTTATGAGAATATGAAAGTCCTATTTTTATTAGTTGTATAAAGAAACGTAATTTGACATGAATTTTATGAATTATTTTCCTGTCAAATTCAAATTTTACAAAAACATCATTGCAAATTAAGACAGGGCATCTTAGCAAGAATACGAGGTTCACGAATCAGTCTTCTGTTGAAACCAAACTTCACAGAAACAACACTGCAGAAAAAAACAGGGCATTATTAGTAACATAATGTTGTGAGCTTCATGAATTATTCTCCTGTCAAAACTGACTTTACAATAACACTACTGCAGAGTGACACAGGGCTCTTTGGCAATATAAAGTTTGTTGAAAGCAAGTCTCATAAAAATACCACTGTAGAATAAAACAGGTCATTTTAGTTCGTGAAACTGTCACTTGTTGAAACCAAACTTCAGAAAAACACCACTGCAGGAGACAGGATACTTGAGAAATATGAAGTTTGCGATTTAGTCTCCTGTTGAAACCAAACTTCACAAAAAAAATCACCCTACAGAATAACACAGTGCACCTTAGCAACAATGAGGTTTGTGATTTAAACTCCTGTTGAAATCAAGCTTCTCAAAAAAGTTCAGAGCAAAATAACATAGGCTGTCTTTAGGTTGGCTCGTTGAATTAGTCTGCTGAAAGAAAGTTTCACAAAAACATGTGATTGGGATCTTAAGGCAGGAAGACAACATACTTTTGATTTGGATCTTGAGACTGGAAAACACGGGCTTTTAATCCTGATCTTGAAGTAGGATGACACAAGTTTTTGATCCGGATCAACATACCCCTTTAACCCAGATCTTGAGACATAGTGGTCATGGTTATAAAGATCTATAATGAAAAGGAGTTAAAGAAAAGCGTAGGTCCAGCCATGATGGTACACGCCTTTAATCCCAGCATTTAGGAGACAGAGGCATGCAGATCTTTGAATTCAAGGCCAGCCTGGTCTACAGAGCAAGTTCCAAAACAGCCAAACTTAGGCAGTGAAGGAAACCATGAAAAATAGAAAGCTGAACAAAAATTGAACAAGGGGGCTATATTCCAGCCCCAGCAAGCAGCAGAACGTGGTAGCTTCAGTCACATGGTTCTGGAGTTAGACTCCAGGATAGAAAGAAAGAAGTTGTGGAATCTCTCTTCATAACTACGAAAATCACAGGCATGTGGCAGGGGTGTCCCTGCATTGAGGCTCAGAGAGGCCATTGTGTGAAGCTGTGAAGGTGAAGCCTGGATTTCCTTGGAGACCCCAAGAAATTAGAGATACCAAAGCCATGGGGTATGTGCTGAGGAGAGCTGCTAAGAGGGAGCAGAAACAGCCCAAGAAAAAGAACTATGTTGCATTCAACATAGCAGAAAGGAGTTGGAGATCTGAAGAGCACCATTCCATCAGACATGGAGACACAGAGTTTGGAGTTTGTCCAGCTGATTTTTGGTCTTGCTTTGGTCCAGTATTTCCTCACTATCCTGCCTTTCCACCATTTTTGAAATGGTAATATGTATCCTGTGCCATTGTCTGTTAGTAGTATGTGACCTGTTTTTGATTCTGATTTTATAAGATATTACACTTAAGAGTTTGCATTTAATCTCTTCTGAGATTTTGAACTTTTGACTTTTAAAGTTGAGACTATGATAGAATTTGGGAACTGATGAGACTAGACTAAATGCACTATGCATTATGTTATGACTATAAGCTTATGGGAGTCAGGGAGTGGAATGTAGTGGTCTGAAGGGGTGTGGCCGCCATAGCCTCATATCTTTGAATGCTTGGTTCATGTGGAGTGGCACTGTTAGGAGTTACAGCCTTGTTGGAGGAAATGTGTCACTATGGGGAGTTGCCTTTGAGGTCCTCTATGCTCAAGCTCCTCACCTTGTGGAATCCACTGCTTCGAGCGGATCAAGATGGATAACTCTCAGCTCCTTCGTCAGCACCATGACTGCTTGTATGCTGCCATGCTTCCCTCCATCATGATAATAGACTAAACCTCTGAAACTATAAGTCCTTCATAAGAATTGCCATGGCCATGATGTCTCTTCACAACTATAAAACCCTAAGACATCTAACCAACACAACTCTGTAAAGTAGAAATTAAATATACCTAGCCTCGATGTTTTTCACTCTAGCTGTAAAATAACTTACTAAACTCATTTGTACTTTTAAAAAGAAATAGTTGATATGTTAAACATCTGTAGCCTACAGTTTTCACTTAACAAGGTAGAGAAAGAAAGTTTTCCAGAGCTTGATGGATCAATAATAGTTTTGCAGGTGGGAGAGGGAACAATTCAAGTAGATAGATAAATATGTCTGGGAAAAGGTGCCTGCGCAAACTCTAAAAAGGCTGGAAAAGAACAAAAGTAGAAATATGAATTCCTGTTGAGCAGAAGCTTGCAGCACAGTAACAGCGCATGGGGCTGAAAGATGGGAGAATGGGTTAGATGCATGTTGGGGTATGAACATCATGGTGTAGAGCATACGAGACTGTGAAAGTGTCTTGAGCAGTCCTGTGATAATATGAGGTCAACTATTGAGAAATATTACTAGTCCTCAAATCAGAGAGTTATAAATTCAGGCTTTAGCCCATGCACTTTTTAGCTGTAAAGATCCGAACTACATTTTCAGTTACCTTATTGGCAAACTAGGGGAAAGAAAGAAGTGCTGTGAGGATGCAGACGAATGTGAAAGTGCTGGTACTAGGTTTTCGAGGGAAACTCATCTTCATGCCCATGTATTTTCTGGGGTGGGTCATTCTTTAGTTGGCTTTAAAACTGATCTACATAATTGTTTATTATTTCTATATTGATGTAAGTGGGAAATAGAAGAAACTTTAAACATATTATTCACCTAAAGCAAAATAAATCTCACTGAGCACTATGTTTGTGGGGTCATTAAAATGCTATAGCTCATTTGCACCCAAAACTATGAAAATATCGCCTAAAGCATTTCAACAAATGTGTATTTTTCATGTCACAGGCAACACCTTAGCACTAGAAAATAGAATTTCATGGACCTTAATTTCTTTTTTTTTAAGTTTTATTAATTACACTTTATTCACTTTGTATCCCACCGTAAACTCCTCTCTCCTCCCCTCCTACTCCCACTTCCCTCCCCCTTCTTCACGCCTGCCCCTTCCCCAGTCCACTGATAGGGGAGGTCCCCCTCTCCTTCCTTCTGATCTTAGTCTATTAGATCACATCAGGAGTGGCTGCATTGTCATCTTCTGTGGCCTGGTGAGGCTGTTCTCCCCTCAGGGGGATCAAAGAGCAGGCCAATCAGATTATGTCAGAGGCAGTCCCTCTTCCCATTACTATGGAACACACTTGGACACTAAACTGCCATGGACTACATCTGTGCAGGGGTTCTAGATTATCTCCACAACCAAGTATCATGAACCTTAATTTCAATGAAATAAATACATTGCTATATACATGTTACAGTTGACAGAAACATTTAAGCCAAATTCAGAGCACCTGGTTGGCTCTGAGAAAATATTAAGACTCCTCCCTAAAAATGTCCTCTATTTATTCATAAACTTCAAGGTGTTGCATCATCACTAGAGAACTTCGGTATTCTTAAAGGAGTATTCTCACATTTGTTCCTGTGCTAATGTGTGCACCACGGATTATGTTCTTTCTAGAGGGAGGACAACATGGAAATTGAAGTTGTTCTTTAATTACTTTAAATAGACATGTCTAACAAACCGGTATATTCACCTGATATTTTTCTATGTTTGATACATAATTGATACTTGACTGCCTGAAAGATGAGCATCTTTTAGGTTTACTCTCTTAATTTTCACTCTTATTCCTCTCATTTTAGTTCCTTTACAAAACTTCCTCATCTGGCAGGAACGGAACAAAATTTACAGCTTGCCAAGAAAATCCAAACACAGTGGAAGAAATTTGGATTAGATTCAGCCAACTTGGTTCATTATGATGTTCTCTTATCTTATCCAAATGAGACAAATGCAAACTATGTATCAATTGTGGATGAACACGGAGTTGAGGTGATATAGAATCATTGGGAGTTTTCATATTTTGTAATCTCTGTGCTTTGCCTTTGAGACAGGCTTTTACTTTTTAGCTCTTGCTGATCTGGAATCTGCTGTATGAACCAAACTGGCTTCAACTCTGTGACAACCTCTTGCCTCCCTTCCTGAGTTTTGGGATTACAGTTACACACAACCATGCCTAATTCATCAGTTGCTTCTTGCTTCTTCATTGATTTGAATGTAGAGTCAAGTAACAATAGAAATTTGTCAATAGTATAGTACCATTTACATAATTCAGAAAAGTTGATATAGTACAAACTCTTCAGTGTCTATTTGTGTCAACTGTGAGTTCTTTAGGCCAGAATAAAGATTTGGACTGGACATAGTCCTTTTGTTTTAAGCAAGGTGAGACAAAGGGCTACATCATTTAAAATCAGTAGGGTAAAGTGCTGTGAAGAGAGAACTAAGATTCTTGATCTACATAAGAATAGGTCATTTAGATTAAACAAGGAGATAGAAGGTCTTCCTGGAGGAGTTGATATATGAGTTATAAAAGACAATAAGAGTTTAACCATATGAAAGAGTAAAGCAAAGTAAGAGAGTTCTAGTGAGAGGAAAACACTGGAAATGCATGACTGTATATCGCGGCTCAGTATTTTTGGGAGGATCTGAAGACTGTATATATTACACTAGTGTGAAAGTGAAGTGGACTACACAAAGGGATAAACTAGTCCATGTGCTCTGGAGATAACCCCTTAGAAAGGCCTATATCTTAAGAAGTTAAATTTCAAGCTTCAGTTATGAGACTTTCTGACAAATATTAGGTAAGAAAAAGATATGACTGAAAAGACATGTTAGGCAGAACACTTTGCTCCTCACATATAGACTCTGCATGGAGTCAAAGTTACAACCTTAACATAGTAGCGCCAGTCAAAGATGACACCCTGAATTAGGGTATTAGCAGGAATAAAGAGGAAAGATGGATTTGAGAAGCAGATTGGAAGTGTGTTATCTGCATGATTGTCTTAGGGTTTTGTTGCTGTGATGAGACACCATGACCTCAGCAGTTCTTACAAAGGAAAACAGTTCACTGGGGTTGGCTTACTGTTTTAGAGGTTTAGTTCATCATCCTCATAGTGGCATGCAGATGGACATTGTGCTGGAGAAGGAGCCGAGAGTTCTACATATTGATCCAAAGGCAGCAGAAAGAGATACTGTGCCACACTAGACCTAGCTTGAGCATCTGAGGCTCAAAACCTGCCTGCACAGTGACACACTTCCTCCAAAAAGACCACACCCATCCCAACAATTCCACACATGCTTAGAGTGCCACTCTCTATGGGCCAAGCATTCAAATGCATGAGTCTATGAAGTCATTCCTATTCAAATTACCATAATGGTTCATAGCTGGCTTGAGTAAGAAAGAAGGGAGTAAATATTCAGGATGACTGTCCATTTTTCAAATGCCTGGTGTAGGTGACTTTCTTAGTGATACTGTTCACAGGTGGGAAATATAGAGTCATAAGTGGGCATAGAGGTGGTAGAAGATAAAAGTTATTTTTAATGTGTTGCATTTCAACCTCAAAGCTAAATAATCATCTGGCTCTTATATGTAGGAATGTGAAAAGCTGAGCAGCAGATGCATATTAGCTATTGGCACAATTTTAATAGTGAAATTACACTGGAAGGGGTAGAAAATTGGTCAAAAAGTGGTATAGAGAAAGAATGTATTAGCCATTTAAATAATGGTAAGGGGTGGGGCGGAAGTGCTCTGCAAGAGAAGCTGAACAAACTAGGAAGTTACAGAAGTACTACCATTGCTAGCCTTCACCCCATCTGCTTGCTTTTAAACAGTGCTGGAGGTGGAGTTCAGCATGCTACACGAACATTCTACCACCAAGTAACCCCCCAGCCCAAGAATGGCACCTTTGCAGCTCCACACTTAACAAGAGAACATTTAACCACTTCAGACTACTGTTTTGCAGATGATGTAAAACTTACTCATTGTTGTCAGTAGGATTTATCTATTTAATGATAAAACCTTTCCCTGGGATATACAATACTAAATGTAACTGAGGGGGCAAGATGGGCCATGCCTTAATTGTGATCTGGGATTATTCTGTGTAACTTGACATGTTTGAATTCTTGCTAGATTTTTAAAACATCATACCTTGAACCACCCCCAGATGGATATGAGAATGTTACAAACATCGTACCACCATATAATGCATTTTCAGCCCCTGGCATGCCAGAGGTAACAAAGTACATCTATCTATCTATCTATCTATCTATCTATCTATCTATCTATCTATCTATCTATCTATCTATCTGTCATCTATCTGTTTATTTATTACAGTTTATTCACTTTGTATCCCCCCTGTACCTCCCTCCCTCTTTCTCCCCTCCCTGTTCCCCAACCATGTCCCTCCCCCAGTCCACTGATAAGGGAGGTCCTCCTCCCCTTCCCTCTGATCCTAGTCTATCAGGTCTCAACAGGAATGGTTGCATTGTCTTCCTCTGTGGCCTAGTAAGGCTGCTCCCCCCTCAGGGGGAAGTGATCAAAGAGCAGGCCAATCTAATCAAGCACATCTTTGCACCTTTCTTTGTGTATAAAAGCCTGTGTAGGGAAATACAACTAAGAAATATTCACGTGGAGACTAAATATATCTGTATTCATTGTTTAATGTTCAGTATTATGAACATCTTCAAAAATTAAAATGACTTTTTTAAATGATAGAAAAGACGATAAGGAAAAGAAAAATTAAAGGAAACAAATGCACTAAAAGATATCATGCTATGACACAACAATTGTCGGAAATGCGCTTTTAGTTCAAGGAAGGCAACAGATGCTTTCAGCAGCTTTTTCCACTGTTTATGATGTGAATTTTAAATTATTTTTATCCATCTGTTTTTGTAGTTCATATGACAGATGTTCTTAAAATAATGTTGTAGTTGGAAATGAAACACATTTGGATTTCAGAAGCTATCTCCAATTGATAGCCACTTGCAAATGAAAAATTAGTTTTTTCCTTGAAGTCTCACTAGAGAAACAAGCCACACTCAAGGGTAGATTGCGTGCCCAGCAGAAGATGGTCAACACAAAATGAACTCAGCTGTAGACATAATGTTATTGTGCACTGTGTAAAGATTCAAACGCTGACTCCTAGACTTCTCTTCCTGGCTGAATCCCCACTTGCTTTCTCTCCTTTCCCCATCCCCCAGCTGGCAGGAAGTCTAGCCCTTTCTCTCCCCTGCTCAGATATTGGCTGTTAAGCTTCTTTATTGACATATCAAGGAACAATTGAGGAGCATTTTTTACATAAAATTGAGACAGGAAATTCTCAGAACAAGGATTGCAACCAGATATGGGAACACAGAAATCACCATTTGAATATTTACACACTGCACAATCACATTCTGCCTATACGCAATGGCATCTTTGGAGGTTCTTTGTCTCATAATGTAAAGCCAGGGCTTTTTCTTTTTTTTTTAAATAATCTTACTGGTCCTTTGCATATGCATTATGGTACTTGTTTTATGTTTTGTGTTTATATGCAATTCTGTGTGTCTCTGGATCTATCTGCACTTATTGTACTTTTTCTTTGGCTTTTTCTCTTGTTCAGTTGCTTTAGCCTATTCTGATTATTTGTTTTATTTTATCTTATTGAATTTTATTTTATTATTATTTTTACACTCCTGTTTGTTTTCTTAGGAGCGACAGAAAGGGTATAGATCCAGATGGTAGGAGAGGTGGGGAAAAACTAGAAGGAGTTGGGAGAGGGAAATTGTAATCAGAATATACTGTATGCAAAAAAAAAAAAAAAACAATTTTAAAGAAAGATTGAAAAAAAGAAGAAAATTACAATTAAAACACAGTCAAGATTGTTCAAACAGCATGTATTTTCTGCTGATATTTTCTTCTGGAGATCACCTGTTTAAAATATGTCTTAGACAACTCCTTAAAGAACTTTTTCAAGTGTTAAACAGATATTGCAATGAGTTCCAAATGATAATTTATCTAAATAAGGAAAGAAAACTGCAGTTTTGAACAAACTTATTTTAATTTTGTCTTTAAGGCAGCAGCATATGTATCTTTCCCATTTCCCCTTAGGGAGAGCTTGTGTATGTGAACTACGCTCGTACTGAAGACTTCTTCAAACTAGAAAGAGAGATGAACATCACCTGCACTGGGAAGATTGTTATTGCAAGATATGGGAAAATCTTTAGAGGAAATAAAGTAGGGTATTTCTTTTTTCCTGGAGGGAAGGGGAGATACTGGATCACACAAACGTAAATGGTCACTTATATTCCCTCTCGAAAATTCCTTTTAATTTTATTTACCTTTTGGTTGTTCTCCATAGGTAAACAGAAAACTTTATTTTTACATAACTTTATATTTCTAGAAAGGAAATTATTTTTGTTACAAATGTAGTATTTGCTTTAAAAAAGTCAGTTGGAGGAACTCTCTTATGAACACAGAGCTGTACAGTACAGTAGCATACCTGGGTCAGGCCGAGTGTGGACACTGAATCTTTGAATCTTTAGATCTTTTTTTCTTTTTTTTTTTTTTTTTTTTTTACTTTTTACTCACTGTGCCAGCGTCAGGATGAGTGAACAGGAATGCTAATAATACCAATTTTATAGAGATCTTTATAGTATCTTAGTCTGCACTAGAAAGCACCTCAGTAGCAAACTGATGGTGGTGATTTCTATATGACTATTTAAGTGCCTCATTCATTTAAATGTGGACATAATATTTTTCAGAACTGATGAACAATTTAATTATTCTCCTGTTGATATATGTTTTCCTTGATGGGCTTCAATATGTTACTACTATAAATAATTCCATTGTTAACATTCTACATATGTGTGAAATATTTACATATAATTTTGTGATATAGATTCCTAAAAATGGAGTGTATGATAATATCATATGTTCTCTCAGAACTCTGATGGAATAATCAAATCGCCTTCTCAGAAAGTAGGGACACTGACACAGCTGAGTGCTTTCTTAATATTGTGATCCATATGAGTAAGCAAGGAATGAGAGTTACCTGCCTTCAGCTACACTGCTAATGATTAAGGAATCAGTTATCTCATAGAATCAAGTGCTGTATTGTTAGCAACTTCGGGTGGTAGAAGCTTACAGAGTCACATTTGGAAGAAACACTGTCTGTTGGACACAGAGTTACATATTTGGAAAGTGCTTACTCACCAAGATTTTGGTGGGTAGTTGTTTAAGAGTTTAGTATTGTTCACACTCTCAACAACAGCCTTATGTTAGTAGGGGAGACAAACACTGGAGAGATATTTTAATATATTATGGACTGTCCTCTGACAGAAATAGAAAAAATTTTCTACAACAAAGGCATAACCCTAGAAAGGAGCAAAGTTCTTAAAAGAAATTCTTTAGGCAGAATACTGACCAGTTAGCAGAAGAGGAAAAAGAACTCATTCAAGGCCCTTGGCTTCCCCTTTGACTACTAGACTTTTGAAAGCAGTCTGTTGTGTTTGAGGACATGACCATACTTTCCAGACACAGAAAACTGAGGGAACTTTCTCTGTGACCTTGGCATTCAGACACTCCGCAAAACCTCGCTGAACTTGGAACATTTATATGCTTCCTACTGCACCCAACTGTTGAATGACATTATAAAAATAGCAGCCATTTTCTGCACTTGAATCACATCTCTCAGCATTGCAAGATGCCCAAAGATTACTGAGGGGCTAGAGATAATATCTGCCAAGTGCCCTTATCTGCACAGTTTGGGTATCTCTTGCTGTATCCCACTTAGCAGACCAGATCTTTCAGGACCTTCGGATGGGCTGCAGACATCTCCAGATCCTCAAGATGAGATTCTGCATGCTTATTACCATGACAGCAGCTCACAGAATGCCTGTGAGGTCCAGCACAAGGAAAACAGCTCTAAAAACCCTTCAAGTTGATTTGGCTATGACTCTGAAGGCAGTCCTCTTGCAGAGACTCACAGTAGAGTACAATTTAGAAATTACTCAAAGCTGATAGTGATGAGGAAAGCCCAGACTCCAAATTCAAACAGGACTCCAAATTCAAATATCAGTGATGAGGAAAATCAAACTCCAAATTCAAATAGGAAAACAGAACATCTAGAACTGACAACTTTTCTTCACTTGATGCAAATATTGTTAGTTGCTGGTTCTCTATAACAATGCAGAAAAATAAAAAATAATAACAAAGGAAATACATGAAATAGGAAGTATATAGAAGGGAGACTAATTTTGCAGGTCTGGAAATGACAGGAACAGTTTATAAAAGATAACTTAGTTAGGATTTTGTAAAGGAAATGACTGTTTGTTAAGTTTACCAAGAAGAAAATTAGCTTGAAAGCAAAGCTAGCAAACATATTATTACAACACTATCAAAAGCAGTTACTAAACTACTTCTGTAGGAGTAAGCCAGTCGTCTCCATTCCTGCGTTGTGTTTCATACTGCTCTTACAGGTTAAAAATGCCATGCTAGCTGGAGCCTTGGGAATCATCCTGTACTCTGATCCAGCTGACTACTTCGCCCCTGAGGTGCAGCCATATCCCAAAGGATGGAACCTTCCTGGAGATGCCGCCCAGAGAGGAAATGTCTTAAATCTGAATGGGGCCGGTGACCCCCTCACTCCAGGCTATCCAGCTAAAGGTATTGGGCAAACCTGTTAGTTGACATCTCTTGTAAAATATTCCTTGCTGTTATAGGTGCATATAAACATTAAGAGTCACAGCAGAACTAAGATTATATATGCCTTTATGTCATTTGGATTCTTTTTTTTTTAATTTTATTTTTCTTATTAGTTACATTTTGTTAACTCTGTATCCCAGCTGTATCCCGCTCCCTCATTCCACCCCCAACCCCACCCTCCCTCCCTCATCTCCTCCCTGCCCCTTTCCAAATCCACTGATAGGGGAGAACCTCCTCCCCTTTCATATGACTCTGACAAAACAGAGTCATTTGGATTCTTAATGCTGGAAAATAAGTGATTTCTCTTGTATTATTTTGCTTTTAAACTTACACCAGATGTAGACATGGGAAGAAGGTTATTCAGCTGACTTTTTTTTAAAAAAGAAGGATGAAGGTTCAGAAATATTGATATGCATATTCAAAATAATGCATACTTTTAATCTTACATTTTATATTTTCTTAATGGCCTAAGGTTTTATTAGTTGGATGTTTAATGTTTTAAGAAAGTTTTCATGTGGTAACATACTTCCTACAGCCTTATCAATAGTTAGTGTGGTGACACTATTTAGTTCTGCATTCTAATGGGTGATCAGATTCTCAAATTATGATTCTTCTTTTTATAATATATTTTCCATGTTCATTAAGGACTTCATATATACATACACTGTATTTTGATTATATTTACCCTCTCCCCAACACACATCAACCCTTCTGAACCTAAGACCTCTTCTGTGTTCCCCTCTCAACTTCATGATTTGTTTTTGGGCATTTTTATTTTCTTTGTTCTGTTTTTGAAACAGGCTCTAAGGGTCTACCTGGGAACTCACTCTGTAAATTAGAGTGTCCTCAAACTCACAGAGACCCACATGCTTCTGCTTCCCGAGTGGTGGGATTCGAGCATGCGTCACCATGTCTACCTTTTTAAATTTTTATTTAATGACTCATTGAGTTCAATCAGTTCTCATAAACACATAGGTGCAGGGCCTTTTTTAAAAAAACTATTGTGGATTTTTGGTTCTTACCAATTTTAAAACTAGTTTAATTTCTTTCTTTCTTTCTTTCTTTCTTTCTTTCTTTCTTTCTTTCTTT